CCAGGGGGCCTTGGAAAACCAAGGCTGCTTAGTTGGGAGTGAGATGATCATGAAAGTGGGGCTTCGACCCTACCTTCTGGCTCCATGCATCTGGGAAGCTCTACTTCTGAAGCGACATCGCTAATTTCTCTCATATCCAGCCCCTGGAAGAAAACAGCCACCCAAACTGAAGAGATGTGAGTTTGTTGTTGAGGGAGAAGATGGTTTGGCTGATTAAAGAGGTGGGTGTGGAGGGGAAAAAAAAAAAAAACGTAGGGCAGGCACTTACAGAATTCAAGTTGTAGTGCAAAGAATCACACTTTGCTTCTTGGGACATTCTCTAGCTGATTTCCAAAGTTCTGAGTTAATGCTGCTAAGGTACTTTGTGTAACCATCAGCTGTGGGGTCTGTGTTAGAATGAATGCTTTCTCTCCCATCCTGATGGGATTCCTGAATTCAGAATTCTTGACCTGAACCTTTGGCCATTCTCTGGTTTAAAATTCTGTTAAAATTAGTCTGGCCCTGGGGTTTCCCTGCACCCATGAGGTTGATTTAGGAAGTTCTCTTAAGGTGAAAAAGTGTCATTTTTCATGTTCCACCCACCCCCTATATCTCTGAACTGAGCTAGCCTGGTTCGCAACACAGATTAAGTCTGTTACAGGGGTGCCAGCTGGAACCTCACCACAGGCCTCGCTTCCCTCGTACAACCTGCAAAGAGCCACAGTACCACAGCTGCCTTCCTGAAAACCTGCCTGGGGAATAAGCCTTGGGCCTGCTCGGATCCAGAACTATGAGAAGGCACACGAGGGCCGTGGGAGGGAGGGCTCCCAGAATGAGAGGGAGCACCAGCGCCCGCCTTCCTCTGTGTGCCGCGTACCTGGACTGGGGAGGGGAACCGGTGTGTGCCACTGTGAGTAATAAAGACGGCCCTGCCAGGAGCCTCATCCTGCTTGAGCGAGGCCCCTGGGTGCCGACGAGCCTGGGTGAGAGGTATGTGATTGTGCTGCGCGCAGGCAGGGGGTGGGGGTCGATCAGCATGTAGCATTGCGCGGACAGAAGGGTTACGTGAAGCAGCGCACCCCCCCAAGCCGAGACCCTGTGTCCTCGGAGCCCTGCCGGGACCCCTGGCAAGGCAGCGTTGCCTGGTGAGCCCTGCTCTGTGCTCCCTGCTGTGTGTGTGCCGTAGCTGGGTGTGCAAATGGGATGGGATGGTCTGCTGCCCTGGTGTTGGGCTTTATGCAAGCACAGAACTCAGACACCAGATCCAGAGAGCAATGTCTTCTCAACAGTAAGCTCCACTGAAGGTTGGGATTTTACTCTGGCCCTGTTGGGGAAGAAATAAGAAAAATACATTTTAACGGTCTCATCTGTTAGCAAATTCATATTCATTCTGACTAGTCATCTATCCAGTCCTTTGCCCTTTTTACGTCTTTTGTACAAGGGGATTAAAATAGCGATTGACTCAGTGAGAGCCCCCTGCTTGTTCAGCGCTTTGGGGGTGGGAGAGACATTCTGGAGTCTCCCAGTGTCTGTGTCAGAGTCAAATCATGGTGCTGTGTCTCTGTTTCAGGGTTTATCCATGTGTATTCACATTGATTCATGTCTGACTGACACCATAGAATGATTATTTTTCTTGAATTTTGGCTGCCTCTAGACAGAGTTCTTCTTTTTTAGGAAAACTGAAATAAGGAAAACTTACTCTACATGTAACAGTAGCAGTTCATCCCTGTGGGTTGTGAAAAAGGGTGACTGAGATGCAAATGGGCTCCAACTCCTACAATAATTAATGTCCCCTGCCACAAGCCCACCCCTCAGGTGCTGGAGGTCAGCAGTGAGCTCTGCACCCCTCCCCGCCCCCGTCGTGTAGCTAATTCAAACCCATTGGGACACAATGCAGTATCTCCTGGAAGTACCACCTAGCTGGGATCAAGTGCCTCGCCTAACTGTTCAGAAGTTCGTTCAGTGAATAAAGGCCGACTATGTTCTAGGTACTAAAAGAGCAGCAGTAAATCAAACCGGTAAATCAGATACCAGTGCATCTAAAAACAAGTCTTCAGCAGAAGGGGCAGAGCCAAGAGGTGGTAGATCAAGCCTGCAAATATGTGTCCAGCAGGTAGGGTCCCAGCTGCAGAACTGAGGGTCTTGGGGGGTCTGGCACCTCCAGGTCAGTGGAACAAAGAGAACGGTCTCTCGGCCAGCACAGCCCCTGGTTCCAGCCCCTCTGCAGTGCCCTTCACACTGCTGATTGGCCTCCATCCTTTGGACTGGGGTTCTAGAGGGTGGGCCCTGAGCAGAGGACATAAGGCTGCAGTTACTGGGAATGGAGGCTCCCATACTTACCCCACGTTCCATGTACAGTGTTCATAAGCAGACATTTAAGTCCATGAAGGTTTGCTAAGCTTCTGCTCTGTGCCAGGTGGTGTGCGGGCCTCAGAGAAAATCCCTGCGTGCATGGGGCTTACCCTCTGGTCAGGGTCAGCTTGTGGTTAAGAGCGTGGTTTCTCTGAACAGACTATCAGAATGCAAATCCCAATTTCCCCTTTCTGTCTGGTGACCTTAAACTAATGATTTAACCTCTCCCTCATAAGATAGGAATGCTATTTAGTGGTACCTGACTCCTAGGGTCATTGTGAAGTTTCAGTGTGATTTTGCATATAAGATCCAAGTACGGTGTCTGGCACAAAGGACACACTCATTAAGTGTTTGCAGTTACGGTGACCATCAGTACTTTTACTAGAAAACATGGTCTGAGAATTCAGTACCAAAACCCAAACTCAGGGCACCTGAGTGGCTCAGTTGTTAGGCGTCTGCCTTTGGTTCAGGTCATGATCCCAGAGTCCTTGGATCGAGCCCCACATCGGGCTCCCTGCTCCACGGGAAGCCTGCTTCTCCCTCTCCCACTCCCCCTGCTTGTGTTCCCTCTCTCACTGTCTCTCTCTCTGTCAAATAAATAAAATCTTAAAAAAAAAAAAAAAACCAAACTCTGGACCCTTTTTTTTTTTAAGAGCACCTGCAAGCCTGTTCATGGTGGGGGGAGGGGCAGAGGGAGAGAGAATCTTAGGCAGGCTCCACACTCAGCATGGACCAGGGCTCGATCTCACAACCCTGAGATCATGACCTAAGCCGAAATCAAGAGTCGGCCACTTAACTGACTGAGCCACTCAAGCGCCCATAACTCTGACCCTTTTAAGTCACCCAGATGGAGCTGTCCTTTGTGGCCTTGGGGATCCAGCCTCTCAAGTCACAGCTTCTGCCCCACAGTCTGTTTGATCATTGGATCCGGGAAGTATTTCATACCGGGGAGAAAAAGCTAGGGAAGGGGACTGACATTTGGCAGTCACGTGGCTGAGGGCTTGAACATTTTAATTTGGGCTATAAAGTAAATGTGACTTCATTGTAAGAGTTGTGGATAGTAGCTCAGAGTTTTTGTAGAGGTGGATATGGATGTATTTATTTATATAGATTTATTGTATAACAGGATATCCCAGGAGTTGGGACAGTTTTCTCTTTAAAAGAGGTTACTATTTAAAAGTCTTCCACACACTGGTAATAATGGTTGCCTCTGGCAATAGAAACATGACTGAAGGACAGAGGTGTTTTTCACACTATGTTCTGTTGTGCCTTTCTAATTTCATTCCTTCTGAAGGTATTGCCAATATCTGATGGTAAAGAAAACAAGTCATCTTGAAGCAGGCTTCGTTCTTGGCGAGTGCTCAAGTGCCCCATTCCGAGAGGAGTGGAGTGGTCTCTTCCAGTTACACAGAGCCAAGAAGCGCCAGAGATGCAGGGAGGACATTGTTCCTGGGGTAAGGTGACCACAAAATCTCTCGTGGCCATGGCCTTACAGCTCCAAGATTCTCTCTTCTGACGTAAGACCGTAGTGGGCATCACAGGGCTGAAATGGCACTTTCACTGAGCTGTCGGACCCAGGCCCTGCCAGGCCCCCCTCCACCAGCTCTAGGTTCCAGCTCTCGTCACCCCTCATGGTCCAGGGCCGCCGTTCCATTTCCCGGCATGCTAGCCAGAAGACAAGGAGAAAGAGAGGTATAGCGCTTTCCTTTAAGTAAAGTTCCTGAAAGTTGAGCGACGTTTCTATTTCCATCCCTTCAGCCATAACTAACCGAACCGGGCTCCAAGGGAAGCTGGCAGATGGCACTGGGGTTCTGGGCAGCCATGGGCCTAGCTAAAAGTAGGGGCTTCTGTTAGCAAAGCAAAAAGGAGGAACAGGAAGTGGGAAACAATCGTGTGTCTGCTTCTGGTGTATCAGCACCTTTGGGGGTTTCTTTTTGTTCGTTTGTTGTTTTGATTGACAAAGCTCTGAATATCCCCATGAGCCCCTCAGAAGAAACGGACTGAAACCCTGACCCCTTCATTCCCACTTTTCTTTTCCCTTTCTGGCAAATTTATGCCTGAGGCTTTTTGTTTTGGCTTGGCGGTGGTTTTTTTTATTTTGTTTGTTTTTTTGGCTTCATTTTTTGTTTTGTTTTTTAATAAACTGACTTTTTTTTTATTTTTATTGTTATGCATGGTGATTATCAATTACATCATTAGTTTTTGATGTAGTGTTCCATGATTCATTGT